CCCCGGAAGGGGGGGGGGGGGGGGGATGCTGTCACCTTCCCTAGTACCCAGATCTCAGGGCTCCTGTTCTGCCCCCTCCCACGGGCACCACACCCCCCCGTCTCCCTGCTACCCCGGCTGTGGGAACAGCATCTTCCGCCAGGTCTTAGCCAAGAAAGCAGGGGGTCTCCTGAGGGCAGCAGGGGGGAGGTGGGAGCCCCCGGAGGATGCCTGGGTTTCATCCCCAGCTACGAGTCAGGGTCCAGGCACCCGGACACCTGGGTCCCCTCTGCAGCTCATCCCTGCCCTGGATAAAGGGGTTGCAGCTACCCCCAGCGGGGCAAGAACCAAGAACCCCATTCTTGATGCCCAGGGCACCCCATCCTGCTGCCCCCCTCTCTCCCCTGTACTGCCTGCTGTGGGGATTAGGGCTCTGCCCCCCTGCCTGTTCGTTAGTTAATGACCTCAGAGGATGGGGGCAGGGGCTGAGCTGGGACCTAGCCTGGGGGCACTGATACTGCTGTACCCCCACTCACCTCTGCCCTCTCCCCACCCCCAGATACGACGGGTACCCTTGGCCCAGAGCTGCGGTTTGAGCTGTCCCAAGCGCCGGCCCGTGATGTGGAGATCGTGGAGGCCCAGCTGTGGCTGCCACTGCGGGCACCCAGTGCCAACGTCACCCTGCAGGTTATGGGCCCTGATGGCACGGCACTGAGCACCCGGCGCCTGGCGGCTGGAACGGGGGGCTGGCACACCTTCACCCTGCCGCCCGGGCTGCACAGCCTGCCTTCCCTGCACCTGGCACTGCGCTGCCACGGCTGCTTGCACCCTGACGGCGCCCGCTTGCTGAGCCCTGGCCCTGCCCGCCGCCCCCCCGTGGCTGCCCGGGCACAGGCACGGGCACGGGGGCGCCGGGTGGGTAAGCGCAGCCTGCACTGCGCCCCCGACTCGGCCCTGTGCTGCCTGCAGGACTACTACGTGGACTTCCGTGCCATCGGCTGGCACGACTGGATCATCAAGCCCGAGGGCTACCAGCTCAACTACTGTGTGGGGCAGTGCCCGCTGCATGTGGCTGGCAGCCCGGGCATGGCCGCCTCCTTCCACAGCGCCGTGCTCAACCTAGTCAAGGCCAACAGCATTGCCGGGGCGGGCCACGCGTGCTGCGTGCCCACGCACCGCCAGCCGCTCTCCGTGCTCTACTTTGACCGTGGCAGCAACATAGTCAAGACCGACATCCCTGACATGATTGTGGAGGCCTGTGGGTGCAGCTAGGCTGGTGGAGGGGTCCCACCACAGACACGCGGCCTCCAGGGGGGTGGACCCACTATGGACACAGGGACTGCTACAGATACACAACCCCACTATGGACATGACGACCCCTATAGACATGGCCCCCCGAGTATGGGGGCACCTGCAGACCCCCTATAGACACGGACCCTGGGGATGGGGCATGGGGGGAGCCTGCCAGACTTGCCGCCTTCTGGCGTGGGGGGAGCCTTGTGGGTCCCTGCTGGCCGTGTTGGGTCCCCAGTGCCTGCGATGGGCCAAGTGCACAGACAGCTGATGCAATGCAGCTCACAGTGTGGTGGGGGGGCAGGTTGCTGGTTTCAACCCCCCCCTGGAGGCCGGGGCTGGCTGCCAAGTGGGGCAGAGGTCATGGTATGTGGGCCCAGCATTGGCGGGACTAGAGGGCATCAGTTTCTGGGACTAGTGGGGCTGGAGCTGGGTTGGGGGCCAGCAGGGGAGTGGGCAGGGGTTGCGGAAACCCAGCTGTGGCCTGGCTGGTGCTGTCCCTGCAGCCCAGGAATGTTACTGCTGTGGCATCGCTGGTCAAAAGGGGGCTTTACTGTGCCACGGGGGCCAGGGCAGCACTGGGCACAGGCCTGGCCCAACCTTTCATTTGGTCTCCTGGTGTTGGGGGTGGGGGGGACAGGGCAGGGTTAATTTATTTTATTACGTGGAGCTAATAAAGATGTGGAAGCGTCTAACGAGGCCTCGGGTCTGTGCGTGCGTATGTTTACGTCTACAGAATCGGGTCCGCTGCAGTGAGATGGGCTGATGCCCTGCACCGGTGCCCCTCACTCCTGACCTGGAGCCCCCAGTTCCCCTGGTGCACCCTACTCCTGACCTGCAGCCCCCAGCCCTGCTGGTACCCCTCACTCCCAACCTGCAGCCCCCTGCCAGCCCGGCCCAAGGCCTCTGGCCCTCTGCTCAGGGTCCCTGGGGTGCCTGGTGTGGAGCTCTGGTCCCTCCTGCTCTGCCCTGGCGCCGTTGGGGGTCTGTTGTGCAAGCACCAACTCAAAGCGTTATCTGGGGCCGAGGCCTGGCCACTCTCACGGCCCCGGCCCGGTCATGGGGGGCAAAGGGCAGCTTTCATCAGCCCCTGCCGGCATGCAGGGACCACACTGCAGCTCCTGCCCGCTCCTACCCCTCCCACCCCTTCTGGGAACAGCCCAGCGGGACCCACACCATGCACCTGCTCGGGCAGAGTGAAAATTCCCTTCAAACCCAGCCCGCAGCCCCTATCCCCCAGCCCTGCTGGTGCCCCTCACTCCTGACCTGCAGCCCCCAGCCCCACCAGTGCCCCTCACTCCGGACCCAAAGCCCCCTGTCCTGCTGCCCCCTAGCGATGCCAGGCAGGGGGCTGGGTGGCATTTTGTGGCACAGTGACTCAGTGACATGCTGACACACTAACCCCAAACCCTGGGGGTGGGGGGGCACTAAGACATTAATCCCCCCCTGAGCTGCTTGGGCTTTCTTAGTGCAGGAGCTCAGGATTAGGGGT